GCACAATGCATTCATATCATAATGGATAGGTAAATTTCAAAATTAAAATTAAAATGAAAAATCTTGTCGATAAATATATGAACAATGTATTCTATAATTTATTTTATATTAAATAGAACATCAGGAAAAACACTTTCTGAAGCGTATATCGAATTGGCGACACCTGCGGAGGCACACCGTGCGGTTGATACACGTAACATGAAACCGTTAAAGGGACGTCTCGTTTCATGTATGAGATCATCTCAGGAAGATCTTATGAGAGCGGTCTTTCCAAAATGGAAAGGGGAATTTTCTGGTTGCGACGCTGTCGTGACTTCGGAAATGTTACAATCAACACCAACTGTACCGCATATTCCATTTATCACGAGAGAAGAAATGAATTCGCTTTTGGTAGTTTGCCGAAATTATAAGGTAGATAACCCTAATTAAAAAATATTGACCCCTAATAAAATTATCTAAATTATCTAAATTATCTAAATTACCTAAATTATCTAATTATCAACAATTTGAAAAGCTCCATTTCTCTCGTAAATGTGCGGAACGTCCATTCGAAAACATTATAAGCGTTCTCGTAAAGGTAAAAAAAATAAAAATAAAAATAAAAGAAACCTAAATAAATTATTAGATTATAAATTATTTATTATATCGATTATCCATAGTTCCCGTTTCATCAAGGAAATCTTTATACAACCTTGCAACGCGATCTTTTATTTGAGATGTTGAAACGTAAGTCCTTAAACATATTAATACACATATTCATATGCTGAATATAATATTGATTGATATTAACGTGTTTTGCTAGTTGCAATCGAATCTCTTAAAATTCATTTGAGCAAAGAATATCACCGCATTGATGAAACGTTATTGGAACGAATGGTAATAATATTCCTAATAAATATTCTTAATAAATATTAATATTTTCTAACACTTACGTAATTAATGGTACAATAAATTAAGATGCGCGCTGGTATTATGACTCCAGTTTTTACTGAACGTCAAAAATTAATGATTCTTCAAGTGTCTGGCATGGCACTCCCTGCAGATTTGCAAGATCGGTTAACTCCTTTTAAGAAGGAAGAAACGGAACAAGGCTCTGAAACTCATAATCAAGTATGTGATATACTTTGTTGAAATACTATTATGTATACTATTATGTAGATCTATATAGTATTA